AGCAGCCCCCGCCTCCCCGCCCGCCCCCCGCCCCTGCTGCAGCCCCTGCTGCAGCCCCTGCTGCTGCTGCTGCTGCTGCTGCTGCTGCAGCAGCTGCTGCAGCCGCAGGCGCTCCAGCAAGTGGCCGTGCACTGCCCGCGCGTAGTCCGCCACCACTCTGTCGCCTTCTTCGCCTCTTTGCTCATTACATTTGTTGCAGCGAAACCTGCGGGGGAAGTTCACGTTGCTGCAGCAGCAGCAGACCCAGTTGCCTGCGCGGTTGGGCAGCGGCGAGCTGCTGCTGCTGCTGCTGCTGCTGCTGCTGCTGCTGCTGCTGCTGCTGCTGGTGGACAGCGCGCACAGCGGGTCGCCGTAGATCTTCAGGAACGAAGACGGGTTTTTGAACTCGTCGGGGTGCGCCAGCATTTGCGGGCAGCACAGCTGCTGCAGCAGCTGCTGCTGCTTCTGCTGCTGCCGCTGCTGCTGCTGCTGCTGCTGCTGCTCCTCCTCCTCCTGCTGCTGCAGCTGCCGCTGCTGCTGCGCAAATGCTGCAGGCAGCCCGCCGCCCCACCGCTGCGACAGCGCACCCAGCGCCGCCCGCAGCACCGCCTCCGCCTTTGCTGCTGCTGCTGCGCTCGCTGCTGCTGCTGCTGCTGCTGCTGCTGCTGCTGCTGCGCCTCCTTGCGGCTGCAGCGCCAGCTGCTGCTGCTCCTGCTGCTCCGAAATCGCAAACTCCTGCAGCAAAATGTCCACCAGCTCCCCAGCCTTCAGCTGGATGTCCTGCAGCTCCTCGCTGCTGCTGCTGCTGCTGCTGCTGCTGCTGCTGCTGCTGAGGTACGGGCCCGCGTCTTCGCCTGGGCAGCACTCCATGCTGCTGCTGCTGCTCGAGCGCAGCAAACCCCCTGAAGTTTCTCTGCTGCTGATGCCGCTCATCTTCAGCTCCTCCTCCCTCACCACTTTCAGCTGCTCTTGCTGCTGCTGCTGCTGCTGCTGCTGCTGCTGCTGCTGCTGCTGCGGGCGGTCGCACTGCAGCTGCTGCAGCACTTGGCTGCAGTGGACGCGCGGGGGCCGCTGCCGCAGCAGCTGCTTCAGGTCTTGCTGCTCGAAGGAGGCGGGCCGCCGCAGCAGCGCCTGCTGCTGCTGCTGCTGCTGCTGCTGCTGCTGCTGCTGCTGCTGCTGCTGCTCGAGCGGGTAAGACAAAAGGCGGAGCGTGGCGTCTGTCTCGCTCGCAAGCGCAGCAGAGGCAGCGTTGCTGCTGCTGCCGCCACTGCTGCTGCTGCTGCTGCTGCTGCTGCTGCAGCTGCTGCTGCTGCAGCTGGGCGCGGGGGCGGGGAGCTGCGCGGCGCTGCTGCAGGCGTTGGCGGCCTGCTGCGCTGCTGCTGCTGCTGCTGCTGTTTGCTGGTCAAGGCCCATCTTGAGGAAGCCATCCTTCAGCAGCAAAAACTCCCGAACAGCAGCAGAGTTTTCTTCACTTCTTGCTGCTGCACATCTGTTGCAGCAAACTCGCCGGGGGTAGTTAACATTGAAGCAAATGTGGCACTGCCAGTTGCCGCCTTCGCCCAGCTGCGGGGCCTCCCGGGCCCAGCGCCTGCTGCTGCTGCTGCTGCTGCTGCTGCTGCTGCTGCTGCTGCTGCTGCTGCTGGGGGCCGCGCTGCTGCTGCTCGCGCCCCGCGCGTAGGGCTCGGGGCTGCTGCTGCTGCGCAGGAAGTAGGGCGGGGGCGAGCCGGGGCCGCCGGGCAGCACTCCCACAGCTGCTGCTGCTGCTGCTGCTGCTGCTGCTGCAGCAGGGTGAAGCGAGCTGGTTAGGTTCATTGCCTCCAACCTGTTGAAAAGAAAACCAAAAAGAAGACAAAACTCCAGAGAAAGACAGCGGGAGGCCGCGCGAAAGCGCAGCAGCAGCAGCAGCAGCAGCGCAGCAGCAGCAGCAGCAGCAGCAGCAGCAGCACGGCCGACACGAACTGCTGGAGAGGCCAGCGCGCGGAAATGGAACTTTAAATAAAAACAAAGACAAATAAAATTAAAAAAGAGAAAAGGAGAAAAGCACAAAGACAGGTTTCAGCAGGGCGCAGCAGCAGGCGGGCTGCTGCTGCTGCGTGCGTCCGTAAGGCGAGCTGCTGCTGCTGCTGCTGCTGTGCAGCGGGAAACTGGGGTGTACAGACAGCTCGCCCACCACCTTTTCGCATTTTTAAAACTTCTTCGACTGCCACTTCTTTTATTCTTCTCGGAAAAGAAAAAGAAAGGAAAAAGGCCGCCGCGGGCTGCTGGCAGCAGCCGCCCCCACTGGGCGCCGCAGCTGGCTAGCAGCAGCAGCAGCTGCTGCTGCTGCTGCTGCTGCTGCTGCAAACTTGCTGCTGCAGCAAAATGCCGCTTTTAAATGCTTTTTAAATCTCCTTTTGTTTTCTTTTGAAAACTTTTTTCCTTTTTTGCAACTTCCCGCGGAGCTGCGCAGACACCCCGCGCCGCTGCTGCTGCTGCTGCTGCTGCTGCTGCTGCTGCTGCTGCTGCTGCTGCTGCCGACGCCGCGGCGCCGCCGACTGCTGCAGCAGCAAAGAAGTGAAGTTTTGTTTGAATTCTTTTATTTATTTTATTTATTTATTTATTTCATTTTATTTTATTTATTTTATTTATTTAAATCTTTCCTCCGCTTTCTCCGACTTCGCCTCCAAACGCCGCCCGCGCCGCGCGGCCAGAACCACCGGTCCATCATCGATGCTGCTGCTGCTGCTGCTGCTGCTGCTGCTGCTGCTGCTGCTCTTTCTAGAGCTGCTGCTGCTGCTGCTGCTGCTGTAGTTTCGGCCTCTACGTTTGCTCAAGCTGACGGGGCTGCTGTCTCCCGTGCTCTTGCTGCTGCTGCACACGCTGGTGGCTGTTGCTGCTGCTGCTGCTGCTGCTGCTGCTGCTGCTGCTGCTGCACACGCTGGCTACTGCTGCTGCTGCTGCTGCGGTCTCCATGACCGCTGCTGCTGCTGCTGCAGCTTCAGTTTCTGTCTCTCTTGTTGCTGCAGCTGCTGCAGCTGCTGCTGCAGCTGCAGCAGCTGCTGCTGCTGTCTCTCCTGGATCTACTCTTTGCTGCACTGCGCCGTGGCTGCTTCGATCACTCAACACCCCAAACCCTAAACCCTAAACCCTAAACCCTAAACCCTAAACCCTAAACCCTAGCTCAAGTGGAAAAGAGCAAACCATATTGGGCCGCAGTTGCAGTTCGTTTGAAATTCAAATTGAAGTCAAAAGCCGCAGCTGGAAAGAACATTTGAGTTGAATTAAAAACAATTATTTATTTATTTATTTATTTATTTATTTATTTATTTATTTATTTATTTATTTATTTATTTATTTCTCTTCTGCTGCTGCTGGATTTGCTCCCAACTCCGCCTGCAGCAGCAGCAAAGCAGCAAAAATGAATTTCTCGAATTTGGAGCCAAGCCCATCGAATTAAAAGAAATAAAAGAATTAAATTGAATTAAATTGAATTAATTTAATTAATTTAATTTAATTCAATTATTTAATTTAATTATTTAATTTAAATATTTAATTTAATTTAATTAATTTCAACTTTCTGCTCCGCGACTAGCACGCACGTGTTCGTCCGCCAGGTGTCTGCGCAGGTGGAATTTCGCGGAGTTTGAAATCGAAAAGACGCAAATTAAAACAAAAAACGAATAAATAACAAATAAATAACAAATAAATGATAAATAAATGATAAATAAATGATAAATAAACGAAAAAGGAATTAATTTCTCACAAATTCAAATTCTGGCCGGGGGGGCAGAGAGTGCAGACAGCTCCGGTGTATGTACAGTCGCTTTCCGCGCTTTGCAGACTTTTCCGAATTTCTCCGAATTTGGGACTTTCGAGGGCTAAAAGAAGAAATAAAAGAAATAAATTAAATTAATTTCAAATTTAATGAAATAAATTCTTTTTAAACTCTTCAAATCTTTCAAAAATCTCAAAATTCGCTAACTCGCCCGAGCCCGTCTTCAGCGCCTCGGGAATGCTCGCCGAAAGACTGCGCTGCCCTGAAAAACCACAAATTAGGGTTTAGGGTCCAGCGTTTAGGGTTTAGGGTTTAGGGTTTAGGGTCTAGGGTTTAGGGTTTAGGGTTTAGGGTTTAGGGTTTGGTACCAGTGGCTCTTCCTCTGGCCTGTACGGGGCGTCGGCAGATTTTGGCAGTTTTCCGGGGAAACAAAACAAAACAAAATAAAACAAAAATAAATAAATAAATAAATAAATAAATAAATAATAAAGATATAAATAAATAAATAAATAAATAAACAAATAAATAAATAAATAAATAAATAATTAATTAATTAATAATAAATAAATAAATAAATAAATAAATAAATAACTCCAGAATGACGCGCCTGCATGAGCTGGCGGTAGAGCACTTCCTTCATATCTGTATTTCCGAATTTTGAAATTCAAAAAAATAAATAAATAAATAAATGAATTAAATTAAATTAAATTAAATTAAATTAAATAAATAAATAAATAAATAAATAATTAATTAACTAATTAATTAATTAATTAATTAATTAATTAATTAATTAATTAATTTATTTATTTATTTAATTACCTTCAAGATCGGAGTCTTGTTGAATGAGGGCGTTGCGGACTCGCAGCTTTTGGAAAATGTCGGAAAGTTTTTTATTTTTTTATTTCTTCAATTACCCTGTTTTGTTTCTGCGGCCATTCACATTTGCTGCTGCTGCTGCTGCTGCTGCTGCTGCTGCTGCTGCTGCTGCTGCTGCTGCTGCTGCATGCGGCCTTACCAGGTTCACTGCAGTCTTTGCTGCTTCTCTCCGCGCTGCTGCTGCTGCTGCAGTGCACACAAGTTCAAAAAAGGAATTCAAATTAATTATTTCAAATTAATTAATTTGAATTAATTAATTTGAATTAATTAATTCAAATTAATTAATTCAAATTAATTAATTCAAATTAATTAATTTAAATTAATTCAAATTAATTAATTCAAATTAATTAATTCAAATTAATTAATTTAAATTAATTCAAATTGATTCAAATAAATTAGTTCGAATTAATCCAAATCAATCAATTCAAATTAGTTCAAATTAATTCAAATTAATTCAAATAAATAAATTCAAATCAATTAGATGAATATAAGTAATTAAATAATATACACAAATAAATAAATAAATAAATAAATAAATAAATAAATAAATAATTAATTAATTAATTAATTAATTAAACTCACATTCAACTTCTTTTGTTTTCCCCAGCCAGTCCTTCGGCTCGAAGTCGAAGTGAATCTGCAGGCGAAGTTTTGAAATTCTTTTTAGGGTTTAGGGTTTAGGGTTTAGGGTTTAGGGTTTAGGGTTTAGGGTTTAGGGTTTGACTGTACGTTGAAGGCGAGATCGTCGGGGTCACTTCCTTGCCTGGGGGTCCAAAAGGGGTCCCGAGAGCGAAATAAAGGCAAAATAAAACCCTTTTTTCTTTTATTTTGTTTAGGGTTTAGGGTTTAGGGTTTAGGGTTTAGGGTTTTATTTCTTTTTATTTCTTTTTATTTCTTTTTATTTCTTTTTTTCCACTTTTCTCACCAAGGCGGATAAGCCAGCCCCAAGTTTTGGGCCGGCGGCGGCGCCACAGCCCCCGCGGGGAAGTTCTCGTTGCCTTGCCGCTGCGGGCTCATGAATCTTTGGGAAAGCTGCGGAAACTTGGAATTAAAACGGAAATAAAAGCTGAAATTGAATTAAAATTGAATTAAAATTGAATTTAAGTTCAATTTAAGTTCAAATTGAATTCGAAATTCCAATTCAGATTCGAATTCCAGCCAGATTCAGGTTCCCACCCGCGAAGTCCGCCGCAGGGAAGTTGAATTCGAAAAAAAGGAAAAAAGAATTACTGAAGGACTTCTCCACATTTTCCGCATTTTCTTTCGACTTTCTTTTTCTTTTTTTCTTTCTTTTTTATTTCCAAATTCTTTTCTGCAAAAAAAATTTTAAAATTCCATTTCGCCTTTGCAACTCCGCAGTGTTCAACTTCTCAGGTGTATGCGCACCTCCCCAGGCTGCGCCCGAATTATCTTCAAAACGAAAATTCATTTCTTTTTCTTTTGTTCTTCCCGACTGCTTTCGTGTTTGCCTTTTGCATTTTCTACCTTTTGCTGCTGCTGCTGCTGCTGCTGCTGCTGCAGCAGCAAGCTGGGATCTGCTGCTGCAGCAGCAGATCGCAGCTTGCAAGCTCCCGTTTTCCGCTTTTTTCGGATTCTGCTTCTTTCTTGTTTCTTTTGAGAAGCAAAATGAACTCTGGAGTTTTTAATTTATTAATTTTGCATTTTGGAAATGCAAAATGAAGAAAACTGAAAAGAAAAAAGAATAATTCGCCAGATGAAAAAACAGATCTGCAAACCGCCAAGAGTTTGCAGCAGTTCAAAACAAGTTTTGCTTCCGAACTTTTCGATTTGCTTCCATTTATAATTAAACATAAATGTATTTTAAAATAAATACTTTTAGAAATAAAAAGAAATAACTCATCTGCACATTTAGATGTACGCAAGTCCACGCTCTAGGGTTTAGGGTTTAGGGTTTAGGGTTTAGGGTTTGGCTGCAGCTGAAGCGCCACGCGAAGTGCTGCAGCAGCTGCTGCAACACCGCCAGCACAGGCTTCGCTGCGACTAAACCCTAAACCCTAAACCCTAAACCCTAAACCCTAAACCCTAAACCCTAAGCCCGCAAGCATCTAATTATATCTGTCCATGCGCAACTAAAAAGACCACAATCAATGCAGACAGCAATTCCTGGCTGCTGCAAACCCTAAACCCCAAACCCTAAACCCCAAACCCTAAACCCTAAACCCTAAACCCTAAACCCTAGTTAGTCTCTTTTGAAGAAGGAGGCAATGTCTGCAGTCCTCATTGGCTTTCCTTTTCCTCTTTTGTTTGTTTTGACAGCTGCGGGGGCAAAAGAAGAAACCCTCGAGGGTTTGTCAACTTCTGCAAACGCAAACGAAACCCTAAACCCTAAACCCTAAACCCCAAACCCTAAACCCTAAACCCTAAACCCTAAACCCTAAGGGTTTAGGGAAGGCGAGCAGACAGCCTGCTGCTGTGGTGTCTTTAATAAACAGGGGTGTAGGGTTTTGAGTGCGGGGTTAAGGGCTTAGAGATGAGGGTTTAGGGTTTAGGGTTTAGGGTTTAGGGTTTAGGGTTTAGGGTTTAGGGTTTAGCTGACCTATTGGCTCCACCTCCGCCGAAAGGGACTCTACAGTTTCTTCATCTGCGTCGCTGCACTCATCTGATATTGCGTACTTGCACTCTGAAACGCAAACCCTAAACCCTAAACCCTAAACCCTAAACCCTAAACCCTAAACCCTAAACCCTAAGCACTGTATGCAGTGCCTCAAGTCCTGATTTGTACAGAATGCACTTCAAAAACGGCAGTGTAGAAAGGGCCCTAAAACGAATTCCCCACTCCTAAACCCTAAACCCTAAACCCTAAACCCTAAACCCTAAACCCTAAACCCTAAACCCTAAACCCTAGTTGAAATCACCTTGAAGAAACTTCATTGTAATTCCTCCCCTGCTTATCATTGACACTGCGCGAACACACCAAAAGTCTTTTCAGCCCCAACACCTCAAACCCTAAACCCTAAACCCTAAACCCTAAGCCCTAAACCCTAAACCCTAAACCCTAAACCCTAAACCCTTAAGACTCACAAACATCCTCTACAGTTAGGCACTTTTCATTTTCTCGCCCCCAGAGACTCTGAGCAGTAAACTGCCTGAGGGCAGCAGCCTGAGTTCACCACAAACCCTAAACCCTAAACCCTAAACCCTAAACCCTAAAACCCTAAACCCTAAACCCCAAACCCTAAACCCTAACCACAAAACCCAAAGTTCTTTGCCACGGAACTGCTGGCTGCACTGGTCTGAACACAGGAAGTATTCTACGCCCGTTATATCTAACTCTAAACCCTAAACCCTAAACCCTAAACCCTAAACCCTTACCGTTGCATAGTTCAGGCAGCGGGCGCCTTCTGCCGAAAGCTGCAGCAAAATTGCGACGCAAAACCCTAAACCCTAAACCCTAAACCCTAAACCCTAGCGGATCCATAAGCAGCAAGACAAAAGCCGCAACTCAGCAGTCACCTAAAGCTCGTTGCTGCCCCTCTTTCAGGGTCTAGGGTTTAGGGTTTAGGGTTTAGGGTTTACTTTCTTGACTGCTGGGGTTAGTCTCGCTATCCGCGTTATCCGCGCCTGAGGGAATTCCACTGGCGCCGCAGAGCTGCAGCAAGAAAGCAAAGTCTAGGGTTTAGGGTTTAGGGTTTAGGGTTTGTAGGGTTTAGGGTTTAGGGTTTAGGGTTTGTAGGGTTTAGGGTTTAGGGTTTGTAGGGTTTAGGGTTTAGGGTTTAGGGTTTGGAGCTCATGAGCAGCAGCTTCCCGACGCACCGCAGCGTTTCCGAGTCATGATCGTCGTGCTGCTGCTGCTGCTGCTGCTGCTGCTGTTGCTGCTGCTGCTGCTGCTGCTGCTGCTGCTGCTGCTGCTGCTGCCACTGGCGCTTTTCCTCCTTGAGGGTTTCGAGTTCTGCAGTCCACCGCTGCAAACCGCCGGGCCACAGCTGCCTGAGGCCGAGGGTTTAGGGTTTAGGGTTTGAAGCTTAGGGTTTAGGGTTTAGGGTTTAGGGTTTAGGGTTTAGGGTTTGCGTAAATGCTGCACTTACTTCCTTCTCGTCAGGGTTTAGCTGCTTCCACAAAGCCGCCAGCTCTCGCTGCACGTCTCCCAGTTGCGGCTGCGGGGCCCAAACCCTAAACCCTAAACCCTAAACCCTAAACCCTAAACCCTAAACCCTAGCCCGAGGCCTTGAGCCTATGCTGGTTCAACGAGAAAAGAGGGCCTGGTGTTGTACGGACAAGAGCAAGCAACTTGGTGGTTTAAGGTTTAGGGTTTAGAGCTGAGGGTTTAGGGTTTAGGGTTTAGGGTTTAGGGTTTAGGGTTTACCTGGCAGTTAGGGTTTCTTTGCTCAAGAGATGCTTTCACCTCTAAACGCCGCCGAGAGCAAAAGAGGGCAAATGCACTTGCAGGAACCCTAAACCCTCGCAAACCCTAAACCCTAAACCCTAAACCCTAAACCCTAAACCCTAAACCCTAAGGTTCTCCCGAAGGCTTAGGGGGGCAGCGGGCAAAAGAGTGGCAGCTACAGTCGAATTGTGGCTTAGGGTTTAGGGTTTAGGGTTTAGGGTTTAGGGTTTAGGGTTTAGGGTTTAGAGGTAAGGGCTGACTTGGGAGGCTCCATTGTAGTTGCGGAGTTTCTTCGGCCAACAAGGACTGCTGCTGCTGCTGCTGCTGCTGCTGCTGCTGCTGCTGCTGCTGCTGCCGCTTCGGGGTTTGTCGCAGCTGCTAGCGGTGCTGCTGGTGTTGCCGTTCCCACTACCTTTGCTTTATTTTCATTGCTGCTGCTGCTGTTGCTGCTGCTGCTGTTGCTGCTGCTGCTGTTGCTGCTGCTGCTGTTGCTGCTGCTGCCGTTGCTGCTGCAGCCGTTGCTGCTGCAATTGCGGCTGCTGCTGGTGCGGTTGTCGCTGCTGCGGTTGCCTCTGCTGCTGCCGCTGCTGCTGCTGCTGCTGCTGCTGCTGTTGCGGCTGCTGCTGCTAGAAAAATTGCCTCCTGTGACAGCTAATTCCTTCAAGAAGTCTAACCCTAAACCCTAAACCCTAAACCCTAAACCCTAAACCGCCCCCCTACAGAAGGTCAGGCCAAGTTCCCAATGGGCAGTTGACTGATAACTAGGGTTTACAAGAATTACACTGAATTGCCGAGGGTTTATAAATTCGAATTTAACTCAATTATTTAGGGTTTAGGGTTTAGGGTTTAGGGTTTAGGGTTTAGGGTTTAGGGTTTAGGGCTTACAACCCCACGACCCGACCGCAGCCCCAAGCTACTAACACACAGCAGCCCTCCAAAGGTTTAGGGTTTAGGGTTTAGGGTTTAGGGTTTGTCTTGCATCTTTTTCTTGAAATTTTTGCTTTTTTATATGTTTCAGTATTTGTTTCTTATCCGACAGGGTTTATAGTTCGGGTTTAGGGTTTAGGGTTTAGGGTTTAGGGTTTAGGGTTTGAGTTAAGTGTTTACAAGTTTAACTTCGGCTAGGAATGTCGCCATCGGCGACGAGGGTTTTTCCCCTTGGCCTCGCGCCTTCTGCTGAGGCGCAGCAGCATCAGCAGCAGCAGTAGCAGCAGCAGCAGCAGCAGCAGCAGCAGCAGCATTCTGCAGCAGCAGGGCCCGCAGGCTGGTCGTGTGAGCTGCGCTGGTGCCGCTGCTGCTGCGGCCGTCCCCTTCACTCCAGCAGCAGCAGCAACGCCAGCAGCAGCAGCAGCAGCAACAGCAGCAGCAGCAGCAACAGCAGCAGCAGCAGCAGCAACAGCAGCAGCAGCAGCAGCATGGCGTCTACTCCCCTGCGTGGGGCTGATGGGAGCCCTGAGGGGGAGGGCAGCACGAAGCGCAGCACTGGGGTGTATAGGGACCTCAGCAGCAACAGCAGCAGCAGCAGCAGCAAGCCTGGAAGCAGCAGCAGCAGCAGCAGCAGCAGCAGCAGCAGCACGTCTCGCCGGCCCAAACCGAGCAGCGCGCAGCAGAATCTGCTGCAGCGCAGCGCGAGCAGCAGCGTGCAGCACAGCCGCCCGGCCTGCAGCAGCCAGGGCAGCAGAACCAGCAGCAGCAGCAGCAGCAGCAGCAGCAGCAGCAGCAGCAGCAGCACGGAGAACATCAAGGTGGTGGTGCGCTGCCGCCCCATCAGCGCAGCAGAGCAGCGCAGCAGCAGCAGCACAGCAGTGCACATATGTGCGGAGACGCAGCAAGTGTCAGTTTTGCTGCCAGCAGCAAGCAGCTACCGGCAGCAGCAGCAGCAGCAGCAGCAGCAGCAGCGCAGCAGCAGAGTCTTCAGGTTCGACGGCGTCTGCCCCGTCAGTGTGCAGCAGGAGGAGCTCTTCAACGCCCACGTCAAGCCTCTCGTTGACCAGGCGAGCCTCTAGGGTTTAGGGTTTAGGGTTTAGGGTTTAGGGTTTAGGGTTTAGGGTTTAGGGTTTGGAAATTGAGCTGCGCCGTTTAGCGCTGAGGCCCAGGATTTGGGGTTTGCCCCCACGAGGCTCAGGCTCCAGAACTCAGCACTGTAACTCAGGCTTCAGGGTTTAGGGTTTAGGGTTTAGGGTTTAGGGTTTAGGGTTTAGGGTTTAGGGTTTAGGGTTTGGGGCAGGTGCTGGAGGGCTACAACTGCACTTTGTTTGCCTACGGGCAAACGGGGACAGGAAAGACCTACACTATAGAAGGGCCCCACGACCAGTACGCGCAGTACTTGCGCAGCAGCAGCAGCAGCAGCAGCAGCAGCAGCAGCAGCAGCAGCAGCGGCGGCGGCGGCAGCAGCAGGGGAGGTGGCGGCAGCACGTCGAGCAGCAGGAGCAACAGCAGCGCCGGCCTGGCCAAAGTGCCTGCTGCAGCAGCAGCAGCAGCAGCTGCTGCTGCTGCTGCTGCAGCTAGCAGCAGCAGCAGCAGCAGCAGCAACGCCGCAGCTGACACGGAGAGCATCCTCAGCTGCAACGGCTGCAGCAGCAAAAGCTGCAGCAGCAGCAGCAGCAGCAGCAGCAGCAGCAGCATTGAGCTTAACCCAGATGCAGGCATTTTGCCCCGCGCCGTTTGTTATATCTTCGAGCAGCTGCAGCAAGCCAGCAGCAGCAGCAGCAGCAGCAGCAGCAACTACATGCTGCGCTGCAGCTTCTTAGAAATATATAATGAGGAGTTGGTGGATTTGCTGGCCCCGCCTGCAGCAGCAGCAGCAGCAGCAGGGTCGTCAGCAGCAGCAGGCCAGCAGCAGCAGCAGCCCAAGTTGAGGATCTACGAAGAGCAGCAGGGAGACAACTACAGCAGCAGCAGCAGCAGCAGCAGCAGCAGCAGCTGGGGTGCAACAAGAGGCCCAGGAGCTGTTCGAGTAGATGGCCTTACAGAGAAGAGAGTCAACAGCCCCCAGGTGAGGGTTTAGGGTTTAGGGTTTAGGGTTTAGGGTTTAGGGTTTAGGGTTTGGAGGCGAGGGTTTGCTGCTGAGAGTGCTGCTCCCCAGAATGAGCTTTCTTCACGCCGCCTTCCCCCCTGCTGCTGCTGCTGCTGCTGCTGCTGCTGCTGCTGCTGCTGCTGCTGCAGGAGGTGTTCGCGCTGCTGCTGGGGGCAGCGCCTCGCCGCAGCTTCGCCTGCAGCGGCAGCAACTCGAGAAGCAGCAGAAGCCACACAATCTTTTCTCTTTCTGTTTGCATTTCGGAGTCTCCAAGTGTGTCTTCTGCTGCTGCTGCTGCTGCTGCTGCTGCTGCTGCTGCTGAGGAAGACAGCAGCAGCACGCGGCAGCAGCAGCAGCAAGGAGTGGTCGCAGTAGAGGAGGTCGTCAGAATCGGCAAGCTGAGCCTCGTGGATCTTGCAGGTACGCAGCAGCAGCAGCAGCAGCAGCAGCAGCAGCAGCAGCAGCAGAAGCAGCAGCAGCAGCACGAGCAGCAGCTGCTGCTGCAGCTATGCCGCAGGGCTAAGAGTAGAGCATTCAGGATTTAGGGTTTGAGGCTTAGCACCGGAAAAGCAGCAGCAGTAGCAGCCGCACCAAAACAGCAGCAGCAGCAGCAGTAGCAGCAGCAGCAGTAGCAGCAGCAGCAAAAACAGAAGCAGTAGCAGCAGCAGCAGCAGCAGCAAAAACAGCAGCAGTAGCAGCAGCAGCCGCAGTAGCAGCAGCAGCCGCAGCAGTAGCAGCAGCAGCAAAACCGCAGCAGCAGCAGCAGCAGCAGCAAAACAGCCGCACTAGCAGCAGCACTAGCAGCAGCAGCAGCAGCAAAGCAGCCACTAGCAGCAGCACTAGCAGCAGCAGCAGCAGCAGCAGCAAAGCAGCCGCACTAGCAGCAGCAGCAGCAGCAGCAGCAGCAGCAGCAGCAGCAGCAGCAGCAGCAGCGTGTGCGGGCAGGGAGCGAGAACCTGGAGCGCAGCTGGGGAGCAGCAGCAGCAGCAGCAAACCGCCGCAAAGAAGCTTCAGCAATAAATCAATCTTTGCTGACTTTGGGCCGCTGCATTAATGCCCTTGTGGAGAAGCAAACTTATGTGCCTTTCAGAGACTCCAAACTCACGCGGCTTCTCCAGGCGAGGGTTTAGGGTTTAGGGTTTAGGGTTTAGGGTTTAGGGTTTGGGGTTTGGGGTTTGGGGTTTGGGGCTTGGGGTTTGGGGTTTGGAGGGTTTTCGGGTTCGGGTTTGGGGTTGGAGGGTTTTCGGGTTCGGGTTTGGGGTTGGGGTTTGGGGGTTAGGGTTTAGGGTTTAGGGTTTAGGGTTTAGGGTTTAGGGTTTAGGGTTTAGGGTTTGGGGTTTTGTTCAGGACAGTTTGGGGGGCAGCACGAAGACCTGCCTCATTGCCACCATCGGCCCCACAGGAGACACTTTGGAAGAGACTTTGTGCACATTAGGTAACTTGCTGCTGCTGCTGCTGCTGCTGCTGCTGCTGCTGCTGCTGTTGCTGCTGCTGCTGTTGCTGCTGCTGTTGCTGCTGCGATGCTGCGCGTCGCTGCCGTTCATGCTGCGGCTGCTGGAGCGGTTGCTGCAGTTGCTGCGGCCCAAAGCCGGGCTGCTGCAGCGGCTGGTCTTGCTGCTGCTGCTGCTGCTGCTGCTGCTGCTGCTGCTGCTGCTGCTGCTGTTGCTGCACGTGTCAGTGCAGCGTCTGTTTTTGCCGCTGCAGTTAATACTGAATAGCCTGCGAGTTAAGGTCTTAATCCTTTTGTTTCCATGTGCTGCTGCTGCTGCTGCTTCTCCGCTGCTGCTGCCGCATCTGCTGCTGCCTCTGCTGCCGCTGCCTCTGCTGCTGCTGCTGCTGCTGCTGCTGCTGCTGCTCCTCTGCTGCCGCTGCTCCTCTGCTGCCGCTGTCGCTGCTGCTCGTCTGCTGCCGCTGCTGCTGCTCCTCTGCTGTCGTTGCCTCTGCTGCCGCTGCTGCTCTGCTGCCTCTGCTGCTGCTGCTGCTGCTGCTGCTGCTGCAGACTACGCGTTTCGGGCGAAGAGCGTGACTACGCGGCCAGTTGCGACTTTGCGCAGATCTCGAGATGCGCTGCTGTCGCAGCTGCTGTCGGAGAATGGGCAGCTGCGGCTGCTGCTGCAGCAGCAGCGGGAGCGGGAGGGGGTGTTTTTGCCAGTGGAGTTGTACAAGCAGCAGCAGCAGCAGCAGCAGCAGCAGCAGCACGCGCTGCAGCACCACGCCGCGCTCCTCCAGCAGCTCCAGCAGCAAGTCAAGGCTCAGCAGCAGCAAATCCAGCAGCAAAACGAAACTCATCAGCAGCAGCTGCAGCAAATGGACGCGCTTCGGCTGTCTTTACAGCTCAGCCAGAACGTCAGCAGCAGCTGCTGCTGCTGCTGTTGCTGCTGCTGCTGCTGCTGCTGATGTGCCTGTAGTTGCTTTCGCTGGTTCGTTGGCTTCGCAGCAGCAGCTGCTGCTGCTGCGCTGCAGCGCATGCGGGTGATGCTGCTGCTTTTGTGCTGCTGCTGCTGCTGCAGAGCCTAAAAGAAGAGCAGCGGATAACCGAAGCTCTGCAGCAGCAGCAGCAGCAGCACTCTGCAGCATCTGCTGCTGCTGCAGACTCTCTACGACGGGCAGTTGAGGACATCACGGTGCTCCAACAGCAGCAGCAGCAGCAACAGCAGCAGCAGCAAGCTGCAGTAGCAGCATGCACTCAATTTTCTTCTTCTCTAGAGGTCAGCAGCAGCAGAGTTGCGCTGCAGCAGCAGCAAATGCTGCTGCACCACCTGCTGCTGCTGCTGCTGTTGCTGCTGCTGCAGCAAGTGTAGCAACGCCACTTCGTGTGTGACTGCCTTTCGAAATTCAGGCTGATGCAGCTGCTGCTGCAGCGCAGCAGCAGCTGCTGCTGCAGCAAGTGCAGCAGTTTCTGCAGCAGCTACAGGAGACTGAACAGCAGCGCCAAGGCTCTGCAGAAGCGGACGCAGCAGCAGCAGCAGAGCAGCAGCAGCAGCAGGCACTGCTGCTGCAGCAGCTGCAAGAACACGGTGTCTTGATGCAGCGGCTGCGAGAGAAGCAAAAGGAGCAGCAGCAGCTGCTGCAGCAGCAGCTGCTGCTGCTGCAGCGAAATACAGAGGCTTTGGACGCAGCAACAAAGGCAAGCCGTGCCGCGGTTTGCTGAATTTGCTGCTGCAGCACCTGGTGCTGCAGCTGCTGCTGCTGCTGCTGCTGCGCTGCATCACAGGCTGCAGCAGCAGACAATGCAAACCCTGCTGCTGCAGCAAAAGATTTGCTGCTAAGAAACAGCAACAGTGCTTAGGCGCCTCTGTGGGGTGTTTGCTGCTGCAGGAGCAGCAGCAGAAGCACACATTGCTGCTGCAGCAGCTGCTGGACACTGCAAAGCAGCAGCAAGAAGACTGCCTTAGAGCTGCAGAGCGTGAGCTTTTCTGCTGCTGCTGCTGCTGCTGCGGTTCTTCGTCTCACGTGCTGCTGTTGCTGCTGCTCTACAGCTGTGCTGCTGCTGCTGCTGTGTCTGCTGCTGCTGCCGTGTCTGCTGCTGCTGCTGCTGCAGAGAACATCACTTCAACCCGCAAGGAGTGCAGCGCGAAGCAGCAGCAGCTGCAGCAAACGCTGCAGGGTTTGGTGTCTACTGTTGCTGCTGGGGGTGCAGCAGCTGGGCAGCAGCTGCAGCAGCTGCAGCAGCGGTTTGAGGAAGAAGCGGCAGCAACGCAGCAGCAGACAGAGGCAGCAGCAGCAGCACTTGCTGCTGCAGTGCAGCAGCAACTCGCAGCATTTGTGAAAGCGCAGCAGGCTGCAGCAGAGCAGCAGCGCCAGCAGCTAGTGCAGGAGCTGGCTGCGGCTCAGCAGCAGCAGCAACAGCAGCAAGCAGCACAGAATGCAGCAGCAGACAAGGCAAGCTCTGCTGCTGCTGCTGCTGCTGCTGCAGCAGACGACGTGTCCCTGAACGCCACTAACTTGCTGCATCAGATGCTTGCTGCTGCTGCTGCAGCAAGAGAAGAGCAGCACAACTCTTTAGCAGCAGCAAAAGAGGAAGAAACAAAAGAAATGCTGCAGCAGCTCAAGGCCACCAGTGACTGCTGCACCGACACTAAAGTCCGTGCTTCGCTGCTGCTGCTGCTGCTGCTGCTGCTGCTGCTGCTGCTATTGCTGCTGCAGTTGCTGCTCCTGCTAGCGCTGCAGCGTCTGCTGCTGCTGTTAGTGCGGCTGCTGCTGCTGCTAGTGCTGCAGTAGCTGCTGCTGCGGCTAGTGCTGTTGCGTCTGCCGCTGCTGCTGCTGCTGCTGCTACGGCAGCTGCATTTGCCGCAGCTGCTGCTGCTAGTGCTGCTGCGCCTCCCGCTGCTGCTGCTGCTCCGCCTGTGCCAGCTGCTGCACTGCTGCATCTCCATAGAAGTGTGGGGCCTTGTTTGCTGCTGCAGCAAAAGGCAGACGCGGGGCAGCAAGGTTTGCTGCAGTGCCTCGACACGCTGCAGACGCAGCAGCAGAAGGCAGCAGCTGCTGCACAGGCAGCAGCAGCAGACCTGAATGCTGCAGCAACGCGTGCTCAGCAGCAGCAGCAGAAGTTTGCAGCAACTGCAGCAGCAGCCATCGAAGCAGCAGCAGCGGCAGCAGCCAGCAGCAGCACATGCTGCAGCCAAGCAGCAACAGAAGCAGCAGCACGAGCTACCGCGTTTGCTTCAGATGTGGAGCAGCAGGTAAGCAGCGGCAGCAGCAGAAACAGCAGCAGCAGGCAGCAGCAGCAGCAGCAACAAAAGTGCCCCAGCTTGCTGCTGTTTGTTATATTTGCTGCAGCTCCGCATTTGCAGGAGTTCCCCCAGTGGAGACCCAGGCGCTGAAGCAGACTGCAGCAGCGGCAGCAGCAGCAGCAGCAACAGCAGCAGCAACGGCAGCAGCAACAGCAGCAGCAGCCCTTGTTGCTGCAGCGCCTGTGCTGCTGCAGCAGCAGCTGAACGCTGGCAGTCGTGGAAGCCCAGCCCATTGCCCCCGTTGCTATCTGCTTCTGCTCTGAGGTTTGCTGCTACTGCAGTCGCTTTTGCTGCTGCTGCTGCTGCTGCTGCTGCTGTTGCTGCTGCTGCTGTTGCTCTTACTGCTGCCGCTTTTGCTGTTGCTGCTGCTGCTCTCGACGTATTGCTGCTGTATGGAGCTGATTGCTGGTGCCCTGCTGGCATTTTCGTGTCTGAGCTAATATGGATGCTGCTGCTGCTGCTGCTGCTGTGCTGCTGCTGCTGCTGCTGCTGCAATTTGTGGCTGTGCTGCTGCTGTTGCTGCAACTGGCGGCCGTGCTGCTGCAGAGAAGCAAATGCAACTGAGGAAGCAAACTGCGAAAATGATCCTCCTGAAACCCCGCAAAGAAGCC